ATTACTCACAAAGGTTTTCAAAAGATGCGGTGATGTATTGATCCAGGCTAAAGCAATGCTTGAATCTGACCAGAGCTTAACGTCATCAATTTTGAGTTTCAAAGCTTCTAAAACCTTTTGCATAAGTTTGGACAGGAGTAGACATGCTGATAGTTCTAATCTAGGAATAGTCATAGTCTTGATTGGTGCTACACGAGATTTGCTACAAAGAAGTTTACTACAATATTCACCAGGGCTTGTAATGCTTTGAAGATATATCACTGCCCCAAATGCCTTCTCGGAGGCATCCGCAAATCCCTGTAAAATGAGCATTGAAAAGGTCTCTTTTAAAATGCAACGAGGTACTTGTATATTTTCTATACTCTGAAGAGTTTTAATAAGCACATTCCATTCATTGGCAAGAGGTGGTGGTAACTGTTCCACCCAGTCTAGCTTAAGCAACCAAAGTGCTTGCATGAATATCTTTGCCTTGCTAATAATAGGACCGAGTAGGCCTAAAGGATCATATAATCTCGCTATTTGAGATAAAACATCTCTTTTCGTAACATCAGGCTTTTCATTAACAGTAACTTTATATTGCAATGTATCCTTCTTATTATTCCACAACATACCTAACGTCTTCACAGTTGTATTACTATTACGATCAAATGAAAAATTCTGTAAATCAGAGTTCTGAGAATCAAAACTAGTACACCACTTGTGTAGCTTCATTCCTCCTCTTTGGAGCAATTCTGTCAAATCTTTCTGGAGCTGAATGCATTCCTTCAAATTCGAAGATCCAGTAAGACAGTCGTCTACATAGAAATCTTCCAAGACCACTTTCGATGCTACAGGAAAATCCTTTTCTTCATCCTTCGCTAACTGTTGAAGAGTCCTTTGTGCCAAATATGGAGCGCATGCTGTGCCATAAGTTACCGTTTTGAGTCTGTATATTTCTATAGGCTTATCTTCATCTTCCTTCCAAAGTATTTTTTGATATTTGGTCTGCGATGGCAATATTTCAATTTGTCGAAACATCTTCTCAATATCGGCAGTAAATGCATAAATATGCTTTCTAAACCATATCATGATGGAAAAAAGTTCCTCTTGAATCTTTCTACCTTTACATAATATGTCGTTCAATGAACAACCGTCAGTAATTTTGGCACTCGCGTTGAACACAACGCGTAACTTTGTTGTTTTACTATCAGGTTTCAGCACGCCATGATGAGGAAGAAAATATCCTCCTTCAGTTTCAGAATAGTCTTGCATCCTCTCCATATGATTTAATGATTCATATTCCCTTAAAAATGAAACATAAAGTTCTTTCATTACAGAATCACTCGACAAACGTTTCCACAATTGATTCAGTCTTTTTTCAGCGATTTCCTTTGAATCTCCTAATTGTATGTTTTCACCAATATCTGGCTTGAACGGCATTTTAACCACATATCTTCCATCCGCATGCCGGTAAAAATGAGTTTTTAAAAAAAGTTCGTTGCAGTAATTTAATTCAGAATTAACTGTAGATTTAGTTTCATTTACTTCTTCAACTTCCCAGAATGACTTTTACTAAGTTATTTAACGAATTAATCTCTGTTGACAAAAAACAATAATTTAAGTCATAATTTTTTACATTTGGAATTCTAATGCTTCCAGAAACTAAAAAGCCGAAGCAGCTGTTTTGAAGAAGTAACTCATTATCTTCTAAACGTACTTTATCTGTTTTTAAAAATTCAAAAAATAATTCCGCACCTAATAATAAATCTACCTTTTTTGCCTTGAAAAATTCATCATCAGCTAACTTTATTCCTTTCGGAATATTTAATTTCGAAATATCAATAGATTTCGATGGTGTCATGTCAGTTATTTTGGGAACAACTAATAACTCTATTTCCCATTCATTTTCCTTTTCTAAGTTCGATAAACGCGTGATTTAACATTCAAAGTAGTGTTGCCTATTCCACTAACTGGAATAAATGCTCGTTCTTTTTTTATTCCTAATGAGTTCATAACACCTACAGTACAAAAATTAGAAGTCGAAGCTGAATCAAGCACTGCTCTAAAAGGAATTCGTTCATCGTAAACATCATGAAGATAAACAATCGCTGTATTTATTAACACAAATTTAGATTTATTTGCAGCTGCCATCAAAGTTGTGTGGGGGAGAGAGGGGCAGTCCTCTTTCCCATTCACTGAGAAAAGGTTCAAGGTCAATTCTTTTTCTTTCGATGATTCATTTTGCTTTTTGTCATTTTTATGCAAAAGCGTATGATGTGTGTCTTTCTTACAGACATAACAATTGAGTTTAGCCTTACACTGCGATAATACGTGTGATGGAGAAAGGCTAATGCATAATTTATATTCCTTAACAAAATCATACCGCTCAGAAACAGAAATACTCTTAAATTTCGAACAATGATAAATTGGGTGTGGTTCTTTACACATAATACACTTTCAAAAAGGGTTTGTTTTAGTTACCAAGGATTTTGAATTTCTAGAGCGACTTAATTGATTTGATGAGCATAGCTCTGCTTAGGAAAACTAACTTTGTTTATTTCTTCAAGAATGCGAATTCTTTCTTCGAGAAATTCTAAAAATTCATCAAGTTTGGGAATTTCATTTGATTTTACGTTTAGTTCAAATGCTTTTCTAGATTCTCTATCTAATTTATGCAATAAAATATTTAATATCAAAACATCAGATAAATTATTTCTATCAAATTCTAATACACTTAAAGATCTCAAACATCTTTTAACATTATTTACCAGTGATCTCAACTGAGAAGGTGAGTCATTTATTTTTTCAAAGTTCAACAAATTATTGATAAAGGCATCATCTACTGCTCTTTTTGTTTTCATATCTGCTTTCAAGTGCAGAAAATAGCGACTCAAATGTATCCTGACATGATTCTAACATTTTTGCTTCACCCTTAAGTGATGCTTTCAAATAAAACAGTTTCTCAGTATCATTTAAATCATTATTATTACCAATCATAGACATAAATTGCACTTTAAAATTTTTAAAATCTTCATATTTACCATAAAATTGAGGAAGAGGTAAATCAGGCAGTTTAAAATTTGATTTAGAAACAGTTTTGGTTTCAAATTTATCTTTATTATTTGTTTCACAATTAGAAAGAAAAATTCTAAATCTTACTTTGAACTCTTCGATGCTTTCTTCCAATTCTTGTGTAATGCTTAGATTATCCTTCAAGTCAATTTCCTCTGGCAAATTGGTGTATTCCACTATGAGTTGTTTAACCCGAGATTTTAATTCCAACAAAGAATCCAATTTAGTCTTCATAATAACATCTTGGTTGAGTTTATTCTCCTCCATTTTATACTCATCAAGGAATTTTATCAAAGCTCTGAGTTTTGTTTTCACTACGCCGCGTTGGCGATTCAATGAAACAATATTAATAGCCATATTCTTCTCCGGCCCGTCGAGCCGGAGATAGCTCGAACTTATTTAATGATACTTAACTTCAGTAAGTGGACTGTAATATTAACAATAACAAATTTATTTTAACAAAAACAACATTATTGAATACTAGCACACGTATGTATGAACAGTATGTATGAAAACTACACTACATGTTTTCCTTCTGAGCAAGATTCTTTTCAATCATTGGTCCTGTTTAACAAAAATAAGACTAGTGGCAAAATTACTCTTAATTTTTGTTTGATTGTTTTGTAGCACACTTTAGAGGTAGGAAATGTTCATATAAGGCACTTGTAATGAACTCTAGACTGTAGATCAGGGTTTCTTAACCTGTGGGTTGCAATGCCCTTGGGGGTCACGGGACCTGCAGCAGGAGGTTTACCAAAAATTTTAGCAGTTTTGATATTTCTTTAACTTATTATACGTAGTAATTTTACAATTACCAAATATTTTTATTCAATGCATCTGAAAATAGATAAATATAAGACAATACAGACAAAGAAAAAAACGCATTTTTATGCATTCCTTTTATAATATCGAAATCGAAATCGAGTCAATGGCTAGGCGGCAATTAGTAGCCAACCGCTACTTTAACCGTCTCTGTTGGTAAATTGCCCTAAGGCGTTGGTACTTAAGTTTTTAATTAAGGCGATTTACGCCGCGCCAACTAGGCGAAACTTGTCAAATTTTGTGAAATGTAGGTGAGTAAGGGAGCCGCGTGACAGGCAGGAGCCTGTCACGCGGGTGGTCACCAGCTTACGCGTACAATGAGAAATATTGGAAATATTAATAATTATCAAGTTTTGAAACAGGTTATCTAGATTGGAATAATTAAACTAATATCACGATCTAAATGAAGACAAATGGCACAACTAAGTGCAACAGATTAGCTAAACAAAATATTCAAATTCATCCTTTCTGTAAAACACGGATTGGACAGTGGTAGTCACGTGGGAGTCACCCTCTTTTATAATATAAACGTTCATTTTCCTTGCTTTGCACGTGATGCTGTCATTTCATTTGTTACTTATTTCAAATTTTCACATTGTTGTATGTCTTAAAATTATAAATTAAAGTTAATGACCTAAAACTGCAATAGTATATTACAGTACAAGTGAAAAAATTGACAGTTTCACTCACATGTGTGTCGGATTTGTGCAATACTTATGGGGTTCCACAAATTTTTTAAAAAATATATGGGCTCCTGGAGGTCGCGACTGAAAAACGTTTAAGAAACCCTGTTGTAGATGATGCTAATAAACCATGACTATTATTTAGTGTTTTGCTGTAACTCATAGTATTGTAAATCGTCATAGAAGCATATATGTCACCCATTTATAGTGCATAATAAAAGATTAATGTTATTAAATCATACTTAATTACTTACTTTCTTGAGAAATTCAGCAGATAGCAGAACCAGGTAAGAACTTCTGTTTATTTTGAACTAACTTTGACGACTGGCTTTTGTTTTAGCCGTGAAGCTTACAATCTGCTGTCAGTAATTCTAAATGTACGTTTTAATAGAAATATATGTTGTTTCAATTTTCAAGTTATATACTGTGTATATTGTTTGATAGTTGGATACTCTACTTGTCACTGGTGTCATGTAATGGAGAGGGAATCTTTTCAAAATGAAGAAATTGCTAAGATAATGAATGAAAATTTTGTCAATATTAAAGTGGATAGAGAAGAACGACCAGATGTTGACAAAGTGTACATGACATTTGTTCAGGTAATATATGCAGATAGATAGTTAGATGCTATAATTTTATATAGTATTATTTATAATAGTAGGATTATTTTGAGACTGTTTCCTAGCTTAAAATTATGTAATCATTTATACACTAATCTGCAATAGAAATGAGGCTGCAAAAATTTAACTATTTAATTTAACTAGTACATTTGTGTAAGGTTTCACAAGGCTTATTTATCTCCTGTTGCTCTCTGCTTTTATCAAGGCTAAAGCATGGTTTAACCAATGGGGATTGAGTTATAAAATAGTGAGTAAAAGCACAAAATATGAAGTGTTGGAAAAAAAACTAGGGCCCCTCTTTAGTATGTGTTCATTGTTATATTGACATTATATGTAGCAACTCCACCTTTTATATCTACAGACATTTCATAAATTCTACTATGATTAGTAGGTTTGAGATTCACATGGACTTTCTTTGGTATTGCTAATGGCAGGTTTATAATCCTGCTATCCTTCATTGACTCCTTTTATCATGACTCAAGACTGAGCTGGTGTTCTAACAGACCTTCTTGGCATGACAAATAGGACAATATTTTCAGTGTCACTACAGTCTGAAATATTAATAATTTTCAATTGAGGGATTTAAAATTGACTTCATGGGTGTGATCATGTTGTCTTTCAGTTGTATCACACAACTTGTGAGCATGGAAATCATGTTAAAGAAACTAATAATAAGCCAAAAGAATTGATATCATGTGACTTCAATTTTGTTAAAAAGAACCTTCCTATTTAGTCATGGAGTGAGAAAAGTATGACAAAAAAGTATATGCCTTCACAAAATACAGCACAAAAATGTAAAAATTAATATAAAACTTATTCCATGCATCTAGTGAGACTTAAAATAATACAAAACAACTTATCACCTCTGGTTCATTAGTGGTTTATTGGAACCTTAATATATATTATTAACTGGGTTACAATCTAAGGAACTCTACATGAAGCTACGGCACTAATTACATCAGACAGAGCACAACTAACTTTCAAAACTTGCCAACCATGCCTACATCAGGCTTTCAGATTTGTTTTGATCAACAGGTCTCTCTCTAGGCAAGCAGCAGCATTGGCAACAGCCAGTCTTCCGTTATTATGTCTTTACTTCTCATTTTAACCTATGCTGTTTGACATAAATTTAATCTAATCTTCTTTCAAAATATGTCCAACTATTATAAGTGTAAAATATTTAATGCTACTTAATCAATTTTATAAAGTTGATTTTATTCTCAAATTTGTTTCTTAAGTATGTTTATTAAATTCTTCATCTTCAGTGGATCAACAGCCCTGGGTGGGCCCTGGCTCTCTCGAGGCATCTGTACTTTTGGCAACTGTTTTCCAGTTTTTAACCTTTAAAATATTAAGATCTTTTTCAGCACAATCAATACATCTTAGCAGGGATCTGCCCTGAGGCTCTTCAGGGCATAAAAACATCTATTTGCAGCAATGCTTCTTTTATATATTTCTAGGGCCAACACATTTTTATTATTTATCTCCGTTCCCAAATTAGTAAAACTATTAACTTCTTCAAACTTATAATTGCCAATTTCTAAGTGATGAAGTTGTAAGTCAGACTTTAGGCAAGGTAAATATTTAGTTTTATTTTCATTTGCAAATAAATTCATTCTTTTAGCACTTTATTCCAGTGTCATATGTGCTTGTTTGAGAGCTGGTGCAATAATGCCAATGTCATCAGCATAAGCCAGCATTTGAACTGAGTAAAGATATTTCCTCTAATATTGATCTTTGAGTCTCTAATAACTTTTTTTGAGTGCTGTATATTAAACAGCAGGCATGCCAGTGCATCTCCCTGTCATGCTCCATTTTTACCTCAAGCTGTTCTGTGTGATCACCTTGTATGCGTACTTGAATTATGGCTTCTTTAAGAGTCAAGACTACAAGTGCAACATGTTTTTCTAGAATTTTCAATTCATGCATAGCTTTTATGAGAAGTTCTCATTTAATACAATCATATGCTGTTCTAAATTCAATAAAAAAATTGTGAGTCTCGATTTCAAACTCTCTGCATTTTACAAGAATCTGTTTCAAGTTGAAAATTTGTTCAGTTGTAGATCTTCCTTTCCTAAGTGCACATTGATAGTCGCCTATCAAGTTAACCCTTTGAGTACTGAATTATTTGAAGATTTTTATGCCCACGGTATGGATTTAATGTGCCGCTATATGGATTAATATGTAAAAGTAATACATTTTATTTGGAATATACTTATATTGGTGATATAAATATATTTTTGAAACAGCATTTTAGAGTCGGGCTCGTCCACCATAACTTTGCCCGAGTAAGCAGATGACGAATCTCACTCGTCAAATGTACCCGAAGTGTTAACAGCAAAAGTCCATCAAAAAGAATATTGGACAGAATTTTATAGGATGTGCAAAGGAGACTGATTCCTCTATAATTACTACAGTCTAGCACAGCAGCTTTATTGTATATCATGCAAGTGGTATTAAGTTTCCATTCTATTGGGAGTGTCTCAAATATGTTGAATTAATTCCTTTATAAGCTGTATACAGTTAGGTTCCATAACTTTTAAAAGGTCTGACGATATTTTGTCAGGTCCAGGAGATTCATTGTTTTTTATAGCATTATTCACTTTTTAATTGGGGGGGATCAATGGGCTCTAAATTTCTGATTGTTGATCTGCTAACTTCTGAAGGCAGATCAGAATTTAGCAACTCAATTCAGATGCTCCCTTTGAAGATTATCACCTATTGCGCTTAAAATATTGCCATCTTTCTCTCTGCGCAGTATAGTTCTTGCCTTGAAATTTCTCCATCCACAATTAATCTCATGAAAGAAAGCTCTGCTTTTCTGTACTTCCCTAAGATGTCCAATATCCTTTAAGAGATTTTCATGAAAGTTTGTCTTCTTAATACAGTGGATCTTTTCTTCTTTTTTCTGGCACATTTGTATTCATCAACAGCTATTCTGTTATGTTTTCTTTGTATCATATTCTTATGTGACTTATTTTTAAGATTGTTAGTAGTTCTGCACTCCAGGTCAAACCAATCATAACATTTTTTTTTCTTTTTAACTTTTCCTATGACAGCATCGCCAATTGCCAATTTTAGTGAATTCCATTTCTCATCAGTACTTTCCAATTCATCCAATTTAATGTTTTTCAATTTTGTTTCCAATTCATTCTGGTATCTTCGCTTAATACCTGTATCTTTCAACAGCAGACAGTTGTATTTTTCTAATGTTACCCCTTGGTTTTTATGGGCATTAGAAATTCTTGCTCTAATTTTTATCATTACTAAGTAGTGGTCTGAATCGAAATTTGCTCCACGATATGATCTGACATGTGGTATGTCTGATGCATGTCTAAGATGGATTAAGACGTTATCTATCTGATTAAAGGTGTTACAATCTGGAGGTATCCATGTTATTTTGCATATATGTTTGTGTGGAAAACAAGTAATGGCCACCACCATATCATGTTCTGCAGCAAAAAATATCAACCTTTGTCCATTATTATTTGAGTCACAATGTAGGCTGTGCCCCTGAGTGGTGGGTCTGAACTTGTCTTCTTTCCCAGTCTTGGCATTTGCATCACCCAACACTGTTCTTATATCATGTTTGGGACTGGAAGAATACAAAGCATGGATGTTTTCATGAAAAGTATATTTTTCTTCCTCATCTTTGTCCTCTTTTAGGGCATGTATATTTATTATGCTATAGTTGAAGACTTTGCCTCTCAGTCTGATCTTGCACAGCCTATGCGATTTAGGCTCAGAATCAATGATAAGATGCCTAATCTTCTTATGAACAATGAAGCCTGTACTAAACATATGTTTTTTAGGAGCATAACTGTAAAATACAGTGTGGTTTCTGCTATCTTGAATTCTCTCTCCAATTCATCTCATTTCCTGAAGGGCCATCAAATTAATCCTATAACTATCCATGATTTTCGTTAAAAAGGATAGACTCCCTGCTTCTGTAAAGTGAGCGTAAAGTCCATACACTGAATCTCATGTACCCAGCTATAGCCCCAGTTTTATTAAATTATGTTTAATAATAATGCATCCTACTTACAGATCTATTTTATTCTTAGAGTGTTATTGCAAAAGTGATGTTCAGACATAAGTTACCTTTAATTGTATTTATTCAGCTCCCATTTGCTGATAGAAATGTGTACAATACCTGTATGTATATATATATATATATGAAGTAAAAAATGGCTGATGCATATATATATAAGATAAAAAAATATGAAGCTCAAAATTACTAATTTTAATTTGGATATTTCCCCCCTCTTTATTCAAAAAAGTCCAGAAATCCGCAAAGCTTGGGACCAGAGATTGTGCGGATTTTAAGATTTAGCGGATTTCAGGAACGAAAGGATAAATCATAATATTCAGACTCAAAGTGCAAAATAATTAAGGCATATTAGATACATTTAATTAAATTATTATATACATTATTGCAATAATTTATTATATGTGTTTAAATTAGTATTATTACATATATAAATTGATTATATTATTCATTGTATTATATGTACACAGCATCGAGGTTTGCCGATTTCGCCTCATGCAAAGATTTCTGGTTTCGGATTCCAGTGTTAGAATCACTTGCTGTAAAATTTCAACAGCTCTTCTTTATTTTTCCGTATATCATACACAATAGTGTCGCAATTCCATACGATTCTGCTATAAACCGAGGATTGGCACCTGCCTCCATCTTTTGCATAATTTGCACTTTTTGCATTACCATCAATGCAACGTGTTTACGTTTTTCAACATTGCAAAGCAGTAAAATTATGAGTGCGTGTCTTTTCTGTCATTGTATTAAAAAGGGCTGAAATTAAAAATATTTCTTAATTTATCCACAAAATATCCTGATAAAAAAAAGGCAGCACTAAATACTCTCATGAAATAACAAAGCTCAGAAAATACAACAACATGAATCTTGAACTTGAAAGAAGATTTGAGTCAATCGTCTGCTTTTTTATCTTGATGCAGATTAGAGGGAAAAAAACGTTTATCATGATGTCAATAATTTGGTATTTCCGTTATGAGTCATTATTATTCGGTAATTATTACATCATTATTCTGCAAGTATTTTTTCTTCGCTATTTCATACTCAATGTTGCGGTTTCCTGAACCTATAAACTGAATGTTTATATTTTGAGAGGCAATGTGGATTTCAGGAGTCGGCCGATTTTTGATATTTGACTGTAATAACTTTTCTAAACTGTCATGTTGAAAAACCAACTTACGGGGTCATCTACATTGCAGAGAGCTATTGGCCAATCAACATTCAAAACTTAAAATTAGGATTTCAAATCTTATACAGTCAAAAGTCGTTAATTCGGACACCTATAATCTGGACCTCACGCCGCGGCGCGCAATGAATTGGAAGTTGATCTGTCAGCACTATCCTTATCTTCAGGGCAGATGCTTTTATTTTATTTGGCTTATAATTCCTTACTAAATGTAGTATTTCATCTCAATGTACTCGGTCTTTGATATGATTTTAATCAAATTCCTCATCATTATAATTCGCTTCCAATAGTGAAGAAAGTGAAACAGAGGATATTGAAAATGAAAAAATTTCGATTGACAAATTAGTCGGTATTCTCGACACAGCAATTATAGGACTTGAATAGTGGAACTTTGTAACTGAACAAGAAATTATGTCTGTTTGTAGAATTAAAGAGAAAGTATTGTCACATAAAACGAAAGCAAAAACAAACTTAACATGAAAAAAAAATGTAAATTAATAATTAAAATTAAAACATGAAATTTGAATTTAAAGTAAACAAACTTTTTTTTTTTTTTTTTTGTTTTTGATACCCTTTAGATCATAATGTTCTTTATTTCATAAATTACGGTTTCATATTTTTAATTTATAATTTGCATGCCATCTTATCAGATTTAAACTGATGATCTATAATCTGGAAAAATCGATAATCCGGAATCGCCGAAGTCCCGACGAGTCCGGATTAACGACTTTTGACTGTATATAGGCCTTGCTGAAATGTGCATTCACTTTCCTACTATCACTTGCCTTAAAAGTGCATGTCTTACTGCTGCACTATACTGCCTACTGTTTCAGCATGCTGTGCATGAATTTATAAGCTGCTTTGAGGTTTTTGAGCTGAACTTGAAGTTGGAAATAACTTTTTTGCGATGGACACCCAATTTTGAAGTGAGCTTATATTTTGAACAGACAGTAATGTACGGTATTTCTCTGGCAAACTTTGTGTTAAAGACTTAATAAGAATTTGGTCATTTAAATGGTCACACACACACAAACATACATGCAACTGTTATTTGTAGCCATTTTTTCCTAAAAAAATGCATCAAAAATAAATATTTAATATGAAATAATGTCAGTATTTCATTATGCATTGTATCTTTCCCTTAGTCTACAACAGGAGGTGGTGGGTGGCCTATGAGTGTTTGGTTGACTCCGGAATTGAAACCTATTTTAGGCGGAACATACTTCCCCCCTGATGATCGTTACTATGGGCAACCTGGTTTCAAAACTATTTTGCAGCACATTGCACAGCAGGTAATTTCATTATGTATCAGTTCAAATTGATGTAAATTGTTATTTTTTCTGTTTAATTCTAAAATATATATTTATAAATGTATTCATTTTGTTTTAAATATGGATATTCAAATATAGTGTCGCTTAGGATGCCTTTCATTTCTTTGATTACAGGTCTTTTATTTTCTTTTAATATGTTAAGTATTATGTCTGTCACCAGTGAATGGTACTGTACTTTCTGTTCAGATCACATCAGTCACTGTCGACTGCTGATATACAATTTGAAAAATTATTTTCTATTTAATTTTACATGGATCTTCGGCCATCTGCATATCTGTGAAATAGGATATTATGACCTAAATGAAAACGAAGATAAAACAGGTTTCATGCTTTACTGTTAAGGATACTATAAACTCTTAATTTCAATTTGAGGAATGTTAAAACGTAGATTAATTGATCACCGAAAATAGCTTATGACACTTTTTCAAAATTAAAAATCAACAGTTTTGAAAATGTCCCATTGGATATCTGTTGATTGGTGACTCATTCTTTTTTATTAAAAACTGGTTCATAGACTTATTAATGACTTTTTCCTGACTAATTTAGCATTAAGAATAAAAATTTAATTCCATAATGGTTAACTCAGTTTGGATTTTGTACATGTGTACTACGTGGATTCTGTCAGGGGAGATTACTAACATTCTTTCTGATTTCCTATGTCTTAAAAGTAATTTCCTGTAGATAAATATTTAAATATAAAATAATAGAGAATTATTTTATATTTAAATATTAATTGCCTCAGCAGTAGTGAATGTTATTTACAGAATATTATTTTGAATTGATTATGTCGTATTTTACTTACCGGCATCAATGAATTTGCTACAATTTATAAGCCTAAAAGGTGATGAAATAAAATTATAATTAATGTGTGATAGCCATAAATATGTATTGGAAAACTAAATTGTTTTATGATAACATAAAATAAAGGGTAAATTGCTTGTCTGCCAGATTTGAATCCTTGCCATTTATTACATTACATTTCATATCAACAGAAAACTATGTTTGTTTTATAAATAATAAACTTTGGAGCTATATTGTTTATAAAACTTATATTGCAGTGGATTATCTGTAAATGGTTTTCATTATATTAGAAATGCAATTTGAACTACTGTTTTAAAATTAATTAATTTAAAATATAATATATATAATGCCATGAAGTAGATGAATGGCTAAAGAAACTTAATTTTTGGTGATAAATGTGAAGGCTGTATATGATTTTTCTTCAACTGGTATGCCTTTATGATTTTTTTTTCAATTGGTATGTCTTTTTCTTAGCAAGTTCTCCAACAAGACATCTCTTTTTCTAGGTAAATAACCAAAGAGTGTTGTAATAAAATAATATAAGACAACACAAAACATGAGGTTTAATGAAATTTTGGTATTTTTTCTAAGGGTGATTTTTTTTGTACCTTTTTTTCTCATTCTCGCTGCAATATCAAAAGCAATGCTTACTGAAATATTATTAAATATATGAAATTTTGGTATTTTTTCTAAGAGTTATTTTTAATACCTTTTTCCTCGTGCTTGCTGCAATATTAAGAGCATATAATTCGTAAACATAATGGGTAGATATTATTACATTTAATCTTATAACTATATATATGTATGTAAGATAAAAAATATGTGAATCAAAATTATTCAAAATTATAATTTAAACTATCAGTAACCCTTTAATTATCCTTCTCTGTTCTAAAAATCTTAATAACTTCTCTGGACTGTGTCATTTATAGATCATTCCATCTTGCATGGACTGCACAAAACTGATGATGTAACTCTTGAGAACTGAAACTTTTCTAAACTAAACCAAAACCTTCCTCTTGGCAAGCTCCTTATTGGATAAATGCGTCACTTTTCAGCTTGAACTTCTGCTTGGTCACTGTTTCGTTGTGTTCACTTTCTATTATCGTAATAATGTAAAAACTGTAAATGTTCTTGAATAGGCACGACTAGAGTGCCAAGTGAACTGTGGCCATAAATGTCAATTGCAAGTTAAAATAGAATTAAAACTACTTCAACTGCCAAGTTTCTTAGATAATATGAACTCAACATTATTAGCGTACTATGCAGTCAGATTTCTTCCTCTTCAATATGGATCTGCGGTCTAGCCTATATAGCTATTATGCATCAGCGCTGCTCTGTCTTTATCTTGTTTTCATTACATTTTTTTTTAGCCGATAGGATGGTTACCTCGAGCCTGAGACCTCAATAGAAAATTTATTCAGCTTTTCAAATCATTGTTTTGTGATAAATTCAAAGGCATGTGAAAGAAGTGAATTGTCAAATTTGTTTTTTCAGTGTTTAAAAAATAATCTATCATCCTTCTGCTGTGGTGTTTTGTAAGTGCTTCAAAAAAATAATCATGCAGGGTGTTTAGAGAATGAAAGTAATCTCCCAATAAATCCAGAAGTTCGAATGTCTGGTGAAAAGGAATATTGAATTTGCTTCAGCCATCTCTACAAATTTTAGGAAAAAAAAAAAAAATAAATAAATAAATAAATAAATAAAGTGTTTTAAATCTTCAGTGAATTAATGCTTAGGAGATTCAACATTACAGTGTATTCAAGGTCGTCGATCTGAGTTTGTGTTTGCAATTATGTGCGACAAAAAATTATTTGCGCTTCCGCTTTTTCTAGTAGTAATTTGTCAATCGACAGTTCCAAAATTGTTGTTTCCATGTAAATTTAACTCAAAAATGAAACAAAATTATTTAATATGCTTCGGATGCTATACTTTTCATTTCAATTTTGCTTAAAATTTCTGCAATTTGATTGTGCTGTTTTGCAAAAATGTGGAATTCTTGTTCATAAATTTTTTCCAATTTTTCATGTGTGAGAAAATTAAGTAATGAATTGTAAGCTATTTAAACTATTTGAGGAAAAGATATTAAGTAAATAATCATATTTTTAAATTTATGTTGAAAATCTGGAACTGTTGATAAGAATTTTTAAGTGAATGAAATAATTATGAAAAATTAGTATAAAATATAATAAACAGTATTTTTGAGTAGTATTATAGGAATCATAAGTAGTATGGAATTATATTAACTAATTTTAAAATTTATGGACCATAATATGTTCAGATAAACTTTGAAGACTCCCACTATATGTTTTTATATAATAATTTTTATTTTAATTATAATGCAATTTAGTTAATTTAAAAAAAAAAACGGAATGTTTTTGTGCAGTTCATAAGGGCTAGTTGCCTTTAAACAAGGAACAGAGGCCTTTACAAGAAACAACCATGAGCGTCCCGTATCATACGCTAATTTGTTATTGTGGATTTGGGCATAAGATGGAAATGTTCATATTAAGAGAAAGCTGTGGTGTCTTCCAGTCTGTAGAAAATTAGTAAATTAGAAATTTTGATAATAGTAGTACATTATTTCAAATGAATTTATTAATTTTTCTTGTATTAAGATTTGTTCTAAAGTGAAATCTTTATGTAATGTTTATCAAATTAATAAAGTTTTGTAACTGTCTTGGAAAATTAAATTTACTATTAAATATTAAGGAATTATTGCATCATTTATGGCACAATACTTTCAGAAATGTTTTTAATTCAACAGTTCTATTTCTTAAATACTGACATAAATGTACTTAGGAAATTTAGGTTTATTTGTGATTTATTTTTATTTTTATTATTTATTAACTTATGCCACTGGAATTATCTTTACAGTGGCATATAAACAGAGAAAAAGTTTTAGATCAAGGAAGTAGAATTCTTGAAATAATTATTCAATCAATGAGCCTTAAAGCCTTCTCTGAATCAGGAAAAATGCCACCTAGCTTAGATTGTATCAAGAGTTGTTTTTCAGAACTCTCACAGACATATGATAAAGAATATGGTGGATTTGGAAGTGCTCCAAAATTTCCACAACCAGGTACTATTTTACTTCTTTCGTCTGTTAATTAATATCCTAGAAATGTTTTGATATTAGCTGCATGTTATGAGAATACAAATATATTAGCTATAACCTTCTCATTTGTAATGGATGTAAAAATTCAAAATGGAAAATATATTTACTATGTGTATGAATTATTTTACTTTTCTTTCTCTAAAATTTATTTTGCAATTTTCCTGAACCCTAAGCAAATAAATGTTTTTTTTTTTTTTGGTGTGTGTGTGTGTTTATTATGTTTTGTTTTTATCTGAATCTATTTGCATAAGCTTTACAGCGAAATAGCTTGTTTGAAAGACAGTTGCTTTTTATTTGACTGTTATGTGAACTTAAATTTTAGCATTTAAATATTTATTTATATTATTTTTGTATAAAAAATGTTGTAAATGTAGTATTTGTAATATATTTTGTTCTCATGTTCTAATTATTTAATGTATTTTCAGTTATTTTTAATTTTCTATTTCGGGTATATGCTACTAATCCTGAATCGAAGGATGGAAAAGAATCTTTGGAAATGGCTTTGCACACTCTTAAAATGATGGCACGAGGAGGTATTCATGATCATGTTGCTAAGGTATTCAATTTTATGAACTAAGAGTGTTTTCTTGTTTCTGAAAAGATTATATTTTGAACATTAAATTATAATTTGCAATCTGAAGTTTTTACTTTGCTATATACAATGATACATAATTATGTACATAAAAGTTTTGTGTTTGGGTTGCTTGAATTGTCTGAAAACTTTGCTTTCATGCAATTATGTTGATAAGAGACAATAGCAAGTCAAAGAGTGAGAAATCTAGTACCATAATTTTGGGTAGCTAAACCGCCCTGGCGTATAGTCCACACTCATGATAAAACAATTAAAGTTCATGAAATAAGCCACACTGCTATATACAGCACAGCATTCCGAAATGATGGCACTTAATATTCATTTATTCAGTAATTTCCTGCCATATTGATGTTATCATCAACAATAAAATTTTATAACATTTACAACATAAATATAATCAGCAATATATAAATAAATAAGGAACAAATATCTTACCTTGAACTTGCTGAAAATGAACTTTAATGATGGTGTTTCTAATAGATATTGCTTTTATGGGTTCAGGAAACTTTGTTCACCATAAATTATTATGAAAAAGAATGTTAGATAATCAAAAGAATTTTATAATTAAATTAAACTACATATACAAAACCTTCAAAATCCAACTCGTTAGTTTCATTATTCTGTTCTAAATCACTTCTTTCAACATTACTATCTTCACTTTCATTTTCTTTTTCAATGGTTTCTGATTTAATGAAAACTGATATGATCATATTAGGTCAGACTGATTGTCATGCTTTATCAACCCATAAGTTAGCCTCTTAATTTTCTCTTTCGTCCGGAATTCGTGAAAGAATGAAGTCCACTTTGCATCCATTCCTTCTACTGCTTTCGTAGTTCGTGCTTGAAAATTCTATTGATGGTGAGATCCTGCGGCAGTAAAAGTTTTGTGAGTCCACCTGGTAACACTGAGACATTGGTGCTAAGTTTTTTTTTGCTTTGGATTTTACAGTATCCACTAAATGGTGTCACACTGAATTCAGAATCCAGTTTGTCCTTAAGTTTGGAAAAAAAGCATCTTCCCTTTTTCGATAAATTTCTCTCAGCCAAAACAGCATCGTTTCTTCACACATTCATCCATTTTTGTTGGAGCAAATAAAAACTTTAGGTAAGTTTCCTTTCAGAACTGTTTTTCTTTTGAAAATTATCAAAGGGGGGTAACTTCTCTCAATTGGCGGCACAATGCTGTAATAATAACCTGTTCACTGGAGGAATATATTTTTCTCATTAAAATTATCTTTGACAGTATAAAAATAGATTCACCTTTAGTATCTGCAATCAAATGTTTTTCAAAAAGCATCTCTTGAATAATTTTTCCTTCCTTCACAAGCTGGATATATGCTAAAGCCTCGCTAGTACCTGGCAAGGTTGATTCATCAACCTGAAGTGAATATTCGGTGGGTATCAAAAGTTTGCATAACACTGGTTGTGGGTGGATGGTGTAAAACGATTTCTAAAACTCCCTTGACAGCTGGCAGTATCAACACTTTGTTCATGGTATGAGCTTTTCCCCATTTAGGAATTAATTTTAATATATTATAGGAGACTATCAAACCATCATCATATATTTTTGATGAGGTTGCTAGTAACACTCAGACAGATGGTGCCTTCAGAAAGTTCGCTTTGATGTTCGGGAAATATGGTAAATCTTTATTTTGTTTGTCAAGATGAATATTGTTGCGTGCTAACAGATTCTTAATATATTGAATGCACAAGTCCGCTAAAAGATTAATAAAATTTATTCTTATCAAAAAAAAAAAAAAAATTTTGCCCACTTTGGTAGTTAACCTGTCTCCTCCTGCCTAATCCGGAGTGAGATAACTGAGTGGTTAGAAACGTGGATTTCAATCGTTACACTTTAACAATCGTTTTGTAACAATTAGAATAGTTACAAAACACCAGTTGCTTTCAGTAGCAGGAGCGGTTATAAGAGTTTGTTGTTGTTATCAAAATAAATACATCAGAATGTTGGAATTTTCCTCAGAAATATTTGTACAAGTGTTGACAGTATCATGCAATATAATCGGTAGTTATACTTTGACTACTAAAAACATTGAATTAATGCAATACAAAGTGTATCTAATGAGAAATCTAAATCTAAACCAATCTCACTCTGAACTTGCAACAATACAACAGCAGTAAACTAAACAGCTGACTAAAACGTTCTCTCTCCAGCCTTTTATAGATTTCAACTGGCTGCGAGATATTTCTAGTAATTCCTACTTCTCAAGATTTCAGCAAAGCAATAAGGGGATGGAATTACAGTTACAGCTAACTAAGAGGTCAATTACATTTATTCAATTTCAATACAATTCTTGATACAGATTACCAAGAAAATCATTTACTCAATGTTAAATGCACATGCTCCTGTATTTTTACTTTTTCTGATATAGTTTTTTCTTAAAATTTGTCCCATGCTAAATTGCACGGGGAAATACAATAATTTTAATTATAATTCTACTAAAATTACTCAACTAAATACAAAAATCATAACTATTCAACGTTTGACTAAATGGAGTATTTTGAATTTTAGAAACTTTTTTTTTAAACGTAAAAGGAAGCAAATAAAAGATTTAAAATCTTGTTATAAATTACAAATAAGACCATGATTTGAATCAAATGAAAACTCTTGCAAACCACTACAATTCACAATAATGGATCATGATATGGGATTATATAAACCCAATTAAATTTCAGTAAGTCGGTTTGACTTTTGTAAAAAAATATATAAATGCTGTTTATCTGTTTTTCAATCACATTTTGAAAAATTTATTGAAATTTGGGACGTTTCTAATGAAGAGTATTTTCAGATTTATGGGATACTAACATCAAGAAAAGTGTTACTTATGTATAAAAATGAATAGGGCTGTGCAGTTTAAAAATTTCTGATAAATAATTTAAGTTTTTTACATGCTATATCTGGAAATTGCATATGTGACTTAATAAAAAGTAATCTATTCTTTCAAATTTCTGCCAACTGTAAACTGCATTTTTTATATGCTGAGCTATCCAGAATTTTCATGCATCTGAAATTTGGCATTTTCTGAGTTTTCTAGATAGTCGGTCTTTTACCATATCAAAGAAAATGATTACCAAAGAAATTCCTTGATTATAATACCAAAGAAAATTAAGCTTGTGCCAGTCTGGGTGATTGGTTTTATAGTGTATGTGATTGACAATTAAATTAGTCAACTGATTAGTTTTTATTTGGCAGCTGATAATTATATTTACTAAAACTGTGTAAATGTTTAATTCAAATTTGTTGGCTTAGCAATTTAAATTATATTATAATAATTATTTGATGTTTTAACTTCTGTAATTTAAAGTAAAGATGATTTGAATTAAATTTTGCTAAATTTCTTTGATGAAATATTTATATCTTTTTTACATCTTGATAGTTGTACATAAAAGTTAATACAGTCAAATACCGAAAATCCACCAACTCCTGAAATCTGCATTGCCTCTCAAAATATAAACATTCAGTTTATAGGTTCCGGAAACTGCAACATTGAGTATGAAATATCGAACAAAAAATACTTACCGAATAATTACGTCATAATTAGAATAATAATGAGTCATAATGGAAATACCAAATTATTGACATCATGATAAAAGTTTTTTACCCTCGCATCAAGGTAAAAAAGTAGACAATTCACACAACTCTTTTTTTTAAGTTCACGATTCACAGTGTTGTATTTTCTGAGCTTTGTTATTTCACGAGATTGTTTAGTGCTGCCTTTTTTTTTATCCGGATATTTTGTGGATAAATTAAAAATATTTTAAATTTCAGCCCTATTTAATACAAGGACAGGTAAGAAACGCACTCATGCTTTTACTGCTTGCAACATTGAAAAACGTAAACACGTTGCATTCACGGTAATGCAAAAAGTGCAAATTCTGCAAAAGATGGAGGCAGGTGCTACTCCTCGGTTTATAACAGGATCTTATGGAATTGCAACACGATTGTGTATGATATACAGAAAAATAAAGAAAAGCAGTTGAAATTTTACAGCAACAGTGATTCTAACACCGGAATCTGAAACCGGAAATCTTTGCATGAGGCGAAAACGGCAAACCTCAATGTTGTGTACATATAATACAATTAATAATATAATCAATTTATATATGTAATTATAATTTAATGCATATAATAAATTGTGGTCCCAAGCTTTGTGGATTTCTGGACTTTTACTGTACTAGTCAATTCCAGGATAAAAATACAATATTACAGAATAATGTCTAGTAAATGCTCTTAAAGATCTCTTATTTGTAATTAAAATGTATTAGTATTATAAACATTCTGTATTTTTTTGCAATATTTATTTTTCTAATTCACATTTTTTAACCTTTCCCGGGGCTGAGACATATATGTCCCGTACTTTCACTACTTTAAATGTGTCTCAAGAAATTTCAGTAAACTATGGAGATTTAAAATTTACTCCTTAATATGGATTAGGAAGAGCAAGATCCTGTCGATTTGTTTTTCTGTTCCTTTCATTTAAAATAAGTGACTAAATGGCCATAATACATTCAAAATTGGGCCCTATAGCCCACGGAAAAAGGTTAAATTTAATTTTTTAATTAATATAGAAATTTAAAATTATATAACTTTTGCTGCCTTAAAAATCTCATACTAGTTTTGCAGTGATATATATTGTGCATAAAAAAAAGTATCTTCACTACCTAAAAATTGCTTGCAGTTTTATTTTAAAGATTTTTTTTTTAATCTCTTTTATTTATTTCATATTAAAGTAAAGATTATTGGAATCTGTTCTGGCACGGATTTTCTAAAAATTCCATCAGTAATGTAAAAACATTTAGTAGATTCTGTAGAAATGTATATACACTGAAGAATCAAAACAGTATGACCACCTATTAATTGATGCATTGCACAAACTTCAGCCTAAAAAACAGCTACAACTCACCTTGGCATGGATGCTACAAGTTCTTGGTAGATGATTGTAGACAGGTTGTACTAAATGTCTATGAGAGGTCACGCAAAGTTGATATGTTCCGACGTGGTGGTGGTTGAGCTCTGAGCTGCCCCTTGATGACATCCCAAATGTCCTCTGTTGAGTAAGATCCGTCAAGTTTGGCTTGGACATTAATTGGAATTTATTCTTATGCTCCTCAAAACCACTCCAACACGATTTGAGCCTTGTGGCATGGGGAAGTTCTGCTGGAAGATTCTATTTTTGGTTGGGAAGATAGATGCCATGTAAGGTGCAACTGATCCACAATTATGTCCATATAGTCAGCAGCTTTCATGGTCTGTTCTACTACAACTAAGGGTCCAGAAATTACTCATGAGAACACCCCCAAAGCATATTACCGCCACCACCAGTCTGTGTATGACCCGATGTATGGGGGGGAGAAACAACCGTTCACCTGGAAGATGGCATATACTGACAGTCAGCATGATGAATAAGAAATCATGATTCATCTGACCTGGCAACTGTCTTCCACTTATCTATGGCCTAGTCTCGATGTTCCTGGGCCCACCGTAGGCTTAGTTGACAATGATGCTTAGTCAACAGAGATGCATGAGTGGAAAGTCTGCTGTGCAGTCCCATATCCAACAGTGTCCACTGAACTGTGTGTTTCAAAACACTTGCATTGGACCTGCATTGCATTGGGTTTTCAGCTGAGTTACTGAGTCACTATCCAGCACTGATTTTGCTGTACCAAGTGGGACAGTCTCCAACGTCCTTTTTCTTTGATAACATGTGGATGTCCAACACCTTGTCGTCTACTGCTGGTTATGCATCATTTACCCACTTTGCATAAATACTAACAATGGCATTTTGTGAAGGTTGTGCAATTTCAAAGATACTCATTCCAGGTCTTTAGGCCATTACAATCTGCCCTTTATCAAATTCACTTAGATCTGCTGCTTTTCCCATCACTCACAAATGTAAGCCAGCAACAGTAAAATAACATTCCCACTTAATCATGTGCCCTCGCATCATTCAGGCGAGTTTTTTGACAAATGTGGGGAAGGCCATAATGTTTTGCCACATCAGTGTATGCTAGTGTTTCAAAAGTTTGTTTTTGAAAATAAAGTAATTAATGGATAAAGTAGTAATAATTTAATTTCTTTATACTTTAAAATGTTTATTTTTGAAAATGAAATAATTTAAGTATAATCTACTAATAATTTGATTTCTTTGTCTTTTAAAGGGCTTTCATCGTTACTCAACTGATCAATTCTGGCATGTACCTCATTTTGAAAAGATGCTTTATGACCAGGGACAATTAGCTGTTTCTTATTTAGATGCTTATCAAGTTACTAAAGATTCATTTTATGCTGATGTTGCCCAAGATATCCTTGAATATGTCTCTAGAGATTTGCGAGACAGGGTAATGTAATTTATTTTAACAGTCTAAATCATATATGCCAACTTTCTTGATTCAGGCAGGAGATTCTTTTTGCCACTCTTCTGCCAACAAAATTTGCAACATCTTTCTCCTGACTTTCTCTAATTCCTGAAATTTCTCATAATTTTTATTAATTAAATTTTGTTATTTTAAACCCCAAGCACAATTTCAGATATCTAAAATCTTTTTCTTTCGATAAGCATAAAAAAAAAGTTTCATGGTTACTACTACTGCTATGTGTGTACGAGTAGATCAGTCTGAGAACAACATGATCTAATATCCTATAAGCATCAAGTGCAGCTGCAGGTCATCTGATGTATGTCAGCCAAAGAGCAAAAAGCAAGTTTGAAGCAATTTACTGCATTTCTGGCATTGCTAAATGGTGTGAGTTTCACACGCTTCTTGAAGTTCTGTAAGGATTAACTATCTTATTTATATCTGGAAATAAAGTAAAATGTTCTTATACCTTTCAAGAAATGTATACAGAGGACTCTCTTTGTATTATTTCATGAAGAAAATGTCCAACCAGCTGAACTTTTATCCTTTATTGAGAACCCCTGATCTAAAGTATGTGAAGATGTGGCAACTACTTCCACTGTTAAATGTAAGAAAAATAAAGTAACTTCGTCAATAGCAAGGAGCATAATTAGTAATTCTCAGAAAATTACAGCAAGAAATGAGCATAAAGCTGACACAAAAGTCCTTCAAGAAGAAAAAAATATTCCACAATAAAAACATTTGTAAGTTGCTGCAAGTTTATTTTGTAAAGAACAATAAATTTATTTTGTAAAGAACAATAAATTTATTTATTTATTTTGTCTTTGAATTGTAGCAAAGCTTTTTTTTTTTTCTCTATTTTGCCATCATTTGATGTTTTTAATACAGTTCTGCTCTAAAAAATTTCATTAAATCATGTTGTTTTCAGTGATTTATTTTATTTACTTTTATCAAAGATTTTTGAGTTTTTATCAAAGTTTGAAAACTCATCTCTGTTTTTTCTTTTAACTCTGTGCAGCATGATATTAGAATAAAATGAGAAATAATAACAACAACAATGATAGTTTTTTTAATGTTAAATATTTATTAATAAGAATTGCAGCTAAATGGAGTTGTTAAAGAACTTACAAATTAAGGCAAAAAGAAATGTTATTTATATATTAGAGGCAGTGGAGCAGCGAGCATAACTGGCACCCGGGGCAAAATACCTTTTTGCCCCCCCTCCCCCAAAAAAGCACAGTGATATGATGAAACTTTTGTTTGGAAGAGAGCGGTGCCCAGGGCATCATACACCCCCTTGCCCCCCCCCTTGCTACGCCACTGATGAAGTTATTAGAGCTAAGGATGTGATTATATATTATATAAATGTTTAATTAATACTGGAGTAATTTTGCATGCTAATGTCACAAATTTTTCTTCTTTAGCAATTAGATTTTTTATGATGTAAATATATTTTTTAAACAGATTTCGAGTTTTGCTTAGTTTTCAGAAGCAAAAATATTGTTGCAGCAGATGAATTGCTATCACAGTTTTGCAATTTACAATTACAAAATGTACATGAATTAATAATTAATGGAGTTTAATTGGAAAATTGAAAAGTCCTGATGAATTTTATAGTGTAGTGAACTAGCTAAAATAATGTTGGGCACAGTGACAAATCTTTGTAGTAAGACTAGATGTGAGAGCATTTTGAATCAAGGCCTAAATTTAGATCTAGGGAGAATGATGATACTCTGGAAGCACTTTTATTTGCAAAAATATGTCTACATGGCAATTACTGTGAGCAAAGTTATGACACTTATTACTTTAGAAGTCAAACAACAAAAATCAGTGTTATATTTGAACATTTTCACAGGACTAGTTTTGATGATTTTACTGAACCATCATCCTCAGCTGCTAAAGCCAAATGGCAGCTGCATTTCATTTGCGCTTTGGCAGCTGAACATGGTGGTTTGATAAAACCATCGAAACAAGTCCTGTGAAAAAATGTGCAAATATGACTTTGATTTTTGTTGTTTGAATTCTAAATTAATATTTGTTTGCCATGTTATTTTACCTTAATTATGATGCTTATTCCGTAAAGAAAACAAAATCTGCTACTGTTGTTAACAATTATATGAAAATGGTTTAAACTATTATTTTTCTATAAAATGTTTCAAATAATAAAACTATTTTTTTACATTTTTTCCTAATAATTAAAAAAAACTAAACTAGAAACTTGATAATTACACTTTCAGATATTGACAAGTTGTATAATATCGTTATAATGCTCTCTGATTATTCTTCCAACCCTCCTGCAAAATCACTAATCATTGGCAACTAATTTTTCACCAGCATAATATTTCAAAAACAGGAGCCATTTTAAAAAATAATACTGCACTGGAAGTTTATATAAAACAGCAATAAAATGATTTTAAAATACAAGAAACATGCATAATGAGGTACTGAAAATTAAATAAAATATTCATAATGAAACACTGAAAGTTACATAAAATGGCAATAGATTACCTAAATTAAAGACACATCCATTAAAAAGTATTTAATTTTCTTTTTTCTGGTCTTCTGCCCATGTGCACAATGATCTATTTTCACTTAAAAAAATCAGAAATGCAAATTCTTGCCATCATGGAGCAGTTAGATGCTGCTCTCCATAAACACATCGATGTGTTTTAACTTAAAAAAAAGCATTTGAAAATTGCACAAATTAACTTTATGGAATATGCATTCCTATGCACTAAGACCGAGCCTCATATTTCTGGGGGAAAAAATTGTAACACTTTCTTTTTCATTAGCTGGCAAACTCCACAGAGTTATTAAGATTCACTACAAGAAAAAAAAAAAAAAAAAAGAAACTCTATGTTAATCACAACAAGCAGAAACAAACATGTCTCTCGAATTTCAGATTGTGCTCACTATGTGCTGGTTACTAGATAAATGCATTTTCATAAAATTCTGAGTTGCCTACATTGCAGATATAGCACTTTGCTTGGTGATCCTTGTCAGAGTGGATAATCAGAGAACCTTTATTATTTTATAATTATTCATAATGATGTATGTAGAACTGTTTGCAAATTTCAAATTCATGTTAAGCAAAGAGCGTTAGTTAAACAGTAAAGCAGACATAATAGTTTTGTTGTTATTTAGCAATACAGTCAAATACCAAAAAGCCACCGACCTGAAATCCGTCAACTCCTGAAATCCGCGTTGCCTCTCAGAATATAAACATTCAGTTTATAGGTTCCGGAAACCGCAACATTAAGTACGAAATATCAAAGAAAAAAATACTTACTGAATAATAATGTGAGTCAAAACAGAAATACCAAATTATTGATATAAAAAAGTTTAAAAAAAATAAGATAAAATAAATAAGTTTTTTTCCCCCTCTAATCTGCATCGAGGTAAAAAGCAGACAATTCACTCAACTCTTTGTTCAACTTCATGATTCACGTTGTTGTATTTTCTGAGCTTTCTTATTTCGTTTCACGAGGTTGTTTAGTGCTGCCTTTTTTTAATCCGGATATTTTGTGGATGAATTAAGAATATTTTTAATTTCAGCCCTTTTTAATACAATGGCAGATAAGAAACGCACTCGTGATTTTACTGCTTGCAACGTTGAAAAACGTAAACACGTTGCATTGATGGTAATGCAAAGAGTGCAAATTCTGTAAAAGATGGAGACAGGTGCATTTTATAGCAGAATCGTATGGAACTCCGATACGATTGTGTATGATATATGGAAAAATAAAGAAAAGCTGTTGAAATTTTACAGCAACAGTGATTCTAACAACGGAAATCTTTGCTTGAGGCGAAATCGGAAAACCTCGATGCTGTGTACATATAATACAATGAATAATATAATCAATTTATGTATGTAATAATAATTTAATGCATATAATAAATTATTGCAATAATGTATATAATAATTTAATTAAATGTTATAGGAAAGTTTAAAATAAAACTTTAAATTATTCATATTGCACTTTTAGTCCGAATATTATGCATCTTTTCTCTCCTGAAATCCGCAAAATCCTAAAATCCGCATTACCTCTGGTCCCAAGCTTTCTGGATTTCTGGAATTCTACTGTATTACAATTTTTTATATTTTTTGGCAGTGGTATGTTATTTATAAACATAATAATTATACAGAAGGAAAACCTCAAAATTCATTTCATTTTATGTAAAATATTCAGAAAATAAATGGCTAGGTGCAAAAATTCTGTTAGCGCATTGTAGTTCCTTATACCTGATATATGCTGTGTTAAGGCAGAAGTGATCTGGCAACCACGATGGGAGAAAACGACAACGTGGTTAGCTAGCGGCCATTATTTATTGTGTTTGATTGCGTGCTGAGAGGTGCACCTATGCGATGGCAAGAGTGTCCATCCAAACAGAAGTTAAAAGAAATAAAGCTACAGTCCATTAAAGCTTAGTGTTTGTGTTTCATGAGTACTTATATGCTCGAACATAATTGTGGTCCGTGCAACCCGGTAGGAAGATTAGTGCCTATGGATAAAGTGCTGGTTAAAAAGCTTAAAGGTGAAGTGTTAAATTGATAAAAAAGTGTGATATGTTACTTCGCATTTGACATAAAAATTAGTGTGTGTTTGGATTTACAAATTTCGGGTTCACTTGGATTACCTCAAACGGAGGTAAGTGAATTTGCTCATATGTTCGGTATTATTAATTAACGTTAATTATGGAAGCATTTTTAATTAAGAAAAGAATTTTAAAGTCAAATATAACGAAAGCGACATCAGACTTCGAAAAATATACTTGTGATGAATTTCAGTTACAACTTTTTGAAAATAAATGTGCAAAATTTAATAATGAATGTTCAGATATTTTGATAAATTATGTTGTAATAGTTGATGAAAAAGAGTTTGACGAAATATGTAACTGAACAACAAACTATTCAAGACAGTATTGATACTTTGTGGGTTAAGGTTAAACGACAAATGTCAAAATTTAGTGCTAAAGATGCAAGT